CCAACAATATGCCAAAGCGAACCCTCAAGCAAGTAATGACAAACTATTCTTGCTGATGGATAAGGTGAAGCAGTTCCTGGATAGTGACCAGAAGGTGATGCTTGTCCAAGGCGACTCAGGAGTAGGCAAATCGACATTCAACCGAACTCTAGAGTGCACTCTTTGGGAGGCGTATCGGAAAAATCATGGTCAAATCCCATTGTTTATCAACCTGCCATCCATCGATAATCCAACCAAGGATATGGTCGCTAAACAACTGCGAATGCATGATTTCACCGAGGAACAGATCAAGGAGCTGAAAATGGCTCGGTCATTCATCCTGATCTGTGATGGGTACGATGAGACCATGCAGACCAACAATCTGTACGTCACCAACCGTCTCAACCAGCCTGGCGAGTGGATGTGTCAGATGGTGGTTAGTTGTCGCAGCGAGTATCTTGGGACAGATTATCGAGACCGTTTCCAGCCTATGGACCGCAACCGCCAAGCAGAGGTAGGGTTATTCCAAGAGGCTGTAATTGTACCATTCTCTGAGGCTCAGATCGATGACTATATTGAACAGTATGTTGCAACTATGGATCTACTGTGGGGTGTGGAGGACTACCGGCGTGCACTTAAGATGGTTCCTAGCCTACAAGAGCTTGTAAGGAACCCATTCTTACTATCGATGTCACTGGAAGTACTGCCACGGATGGTAGACCCGCATCAGAATATATCCCGAAAGCAGATTAAACGCATCACTCTGTATGACCAGTTCGTTGAGCTGTGGTTCGAACGAGGCAAGAAGCGGCTAGGCGAGATATCAGCATCAGATAAGAGAATGTTCCGAACGCTGTGTGATGAAGGCTTCGCACAGAATGGGGTCAGGTACCTAACAGACTTAGCTGTGGAGATCTACAAGCATCAAGATGGTAACCCAGTGGTGGAATACTCTCCATCTAAACATAAGGACACATGGAAAGAGAAGTATTTTAGCAGAGAGAGCAGGAAGGATCTCTTACGAGAAGCATCGCCTCTGAGTCGCACAGGCAATCAGTATCGATTTGTTCACCACTCCATTCTAGAGTATTGTGTGGTGCGAGCGATATTTGAACCACAGGAAGTGACGAATGCGTTAGCGATCAGTAGAGAAGTAGCAGCGACACAGACTTGCCGCCGGCACAGTGTTGGCTCCATATACAGCTTTGAGGCTGAAGAGACTAAAATGGTTGAGCAGGAAGTAAATTTAGTCAAGGTAGATGAGAACTCGCCCTTAGTCTGGAGAAGCTTTGTCAACGAGCCATCTATCCTTGAGTTCCTGAAAGATCGTGTTCGAATGGAAGTCGAGTTCAAGCGCCAGCTGTACGAGTATGTTGAGCTATCGAGGAGTGATAAAAAATGGCGGACAGCAGCAGCGAATGCAATGACGATCTTAGTCCGAGCAGGCGAATCGTTCATCGAGGCGGACTTACGAGATATCCAGATCCCAGGAGCAGATCTTAGTCATGGAGTATTTGACTGTGCTCAGCTACAAAGAGCAGATTTGAGGAACGTCAACCTTAGCAGGTGTTGGCTTCAAGAAGCAGACCTGAGTGGAGCAAAGATGGCAGGCGTACGGTTCGGAGAATGGGCACTACTTCGTGAAGGAGGATATGTATTCAGAGGATCGTATTCGACTGATGGCAAGACATTCGTTGCAGCTATCAACAAAAGGCAAAGTAGCGATGGTTACATCAGCATCTATGATACGTTGACATGGGAGAAGCGAATGACTTTGGAGATCAATGTGCGCAACTACAGCTTTATCTACTCTCCAGACAGTCGACACATTGCCGTTTGGTATGGGAAGGGCGCAATTCATGTGCTGGATACAACATCGGGTGCATTAATTCAAACCTTAAAGGGCCATACAGACATTGTTAACTATGCAGTGTACTCGCCAGATGGCGGCCGCCTCGCTTCAGCCAGTAAAAATGGATCAGTGCATGTATGGGACACCAGGACTGGCGTGGTCCAATACATATTAGAGGGTCATACTGGTGAGGTGACAAACGTGGTGTATTCATCTGACGGGAAGCAGATTGCAACTGGAGGCGTAGACGAGACGGTACGGCTTTGGGATACGTCATCAGGGAAGTTGGTACTGATGCTCCGGGACTCTGGGTCTCAGGTCAGACAAATCGTATATTCACCTAACAGCCAAGAAATCATCACTCGTGACTACTACGGTTACTCGCTGGATGTGTGGGATGCAAGCTCTGGTCAGAAGAAATGGGCATTAGAGCATAGCTTCCCTCCTAATGATGTCCAATATTCTCCCGATGGGAAGCATGCCGCATCATTCTCCTGGAAGACGGCATTTCAGTGGAATATGCAAACAGGAGAAATGATTCATACTCTTTTGGATCACTTCTATTCTATCATCGACTTGAAATATTTGCCAAATGGAGAACAGATAGTCATTTGTGCATGGGACAATACAGTGCGGCTTTGGGATGCCCGTTCAGGACAACTGACCAACACACTATATGGTCACTCCAGTATTATATATGGTGTGGCGTGTTCGCCAAACAGTCATCAGATTGCATCATTCAGCAAAGATGGAACGATACGCCTGTGGGACGCACATTCACGGCAGTCTAGCCACCATTCATATGGTCATACAAAGCTAATTTCCTTAGTAAGGTTTTCACCAGATGGACAACACATAGCCTCATGCAGTCATGACAATACAGTGCGCGTGTGGGATAGTCGAACAGGACAATGTATTCATGTTTTGCAGTGCCGATCGAACGATGTCAAGTATACACCTGATGGTCGACTGCTTGCCTTTTGCACCCTCAATGGTGATCAGCACCTTTATCTTTGGGATGCTGAATCGGGTCAAGTTGTTTACGCCCTAGATTCACCAAATCAGGACGGCGACATCGTGACCTCTGATATTTCACCCATTGGCCACCTAATTGCCTGTGGTCATCAAAGCGGAAACGTGAGTGTGTGGAACACTCAAACAGGACTACTTGTACGCACTCTACAGGGACATGATAGTCGTGTGGAAGGCGTGCTGTTCTCGCCTAGTGGCCACCAGATTGCTTCCTATGACGAAGCTAATAGGATCAGAATATGGACAGCACACTCAGAAGATCTCCTGCACGAGTTAGAAGGCGTGGGATATAGTACCTCTTATTTGGTTTATACTCCTAACAGCCTAAAGCTAGCATTTATCCAGGACTCTATGAAACTGCAACTATGGAGCGCAGAGACAGGCCAGTTCTGTCATGAAACAAAATTCTATAAGCCTCAAAGGAAGATCTCATTTTCACCATCCAGCCAACTGATGGTAGTTGGAAGTGCAAAAGGGGCAATTAGTATGGTAGATCTTGAATCAGGCAACATATTGCATGTACTTGAAGGGCATACCGGACGTATAACTGCCATTTCTTATTCATGTGATGGCCAATATGTTGCCTCAAGTAGTGTTGACACGACTGTACGACTATGGGACCCAGAGTCAGCCCAGTGCTTGGCTATTATTCCATATGTAGGAGGCTACGTTGAAGCTCTTGTCTGGAATGTTTCCGAGGAAGGCTGTTTTCTGGTTACAGGCCATGATGACGGCTCTATTCGGATGTGGCAGATTGCCAAGAGTGAGGATGGCCAATGCCATACCCGCTTGAAGTGGAGCACAAAGCAATCAATTCTTAATGCCTCCGAAGCAAGCATTCGAGACGTAGCTGGCTTAAGTGAAGCCAACAGAAAGCTTTTGAAACAATATGGAGCTGTTGATGATCCAACAGAGTGTCCAACTTCCCCTGAAGTAAGCCACGATATCAACACAACAATGCCTATGCCATTAGAGGCTAAAGAGCTGGGAGGAGATGTTTCGAATACGAACTCAAAGAAGGACGGTTCCAGAGCAAGATTATTGATCGCTAAAAGTGAGGTGACTAAGGGATATCGATTCATATGCAGCAAATGTAGCGAATGTGATGAGTGTGAAGTTGCACATTTTATCCTAAGCGGCACATACGACAGCATCGACAATAATGACCAGCATCATAAGGAGGAGAACATGCATGTCGATCTAATGGAGTGAAGATGTCCCGCCCTCATCGTTCTTCGTTATTCATCTCACTTTTACAATAAAAGCCGCATGGTCTACTTGTCGAGGCATGAAGGGCTGATATCTTCTAGATATCTAACCTGTATCCAACAATACAAACATATTCTTTGTGTTCTAGTATGGATGCAATAATTAAAGTGCACTTTAAGCTCTTTCAGAGCAAACGTTACTTTGTGTTCTTGAGTATTATATATATATTTGCTTGACAGTATATATTGTCCTCGTCATTTGGTCATGCACATATTCTAAAAACATATAATTATTGAATTGATTTGGTCGGCTCAGAATTTTGAATAATCTTAAATGAGTTGGTGGCCAAAATCAGCCACCGATTCAATACACAAATCCCATTCAATGTGACGCGCTTTTTCTGGGGCCAATTCAATCAATATATTTTTACAATATGTGCATGACCAAATGACGAGGACAATACATGTAGACATTGTCAAAGAGCAAAATGTCACAATCGCTCAATCGACAGTAACTTCTGAGTGGTTTTCCAAAAAGAAACACAAAAAGTTTAAAGAGGAATGCCGTATATGAATTTACAGAAGATCTTGTTGGTGCCAGATCATCTCCGAACCACGCTGAATCGAAAAAGGTCAAAGGAAAAGGGAGGGAAAGTAAAAAAGAGATACAAAATCATCACTGCCAGACCATATTTTTATTCTACGAGGCATTTCTCTATTTGAAAGGTGATATGAGGCTACGGAACAGCATCCGATGTCAGAGAAGTCAAGCATGAAAACAAAGACCAATGGTGTACATGTACATTCAAGCCAATGCTCTTCTTTGTTGTATGCACATAAATTTCTGTGTTTGGTTTGACTAAACCTTATTGAGGAAAGAAACACCAGAAATTTTCCCATCATTAAAATTAAAAAATTAGCTCTACCTCACCTCATTTCTCATCCTCTTTAACCTCGACTAAAACGAAATGTTCATTCGCAGCATTCTCTGCGCAACCGTGGCCATCACGCTTTGCACATCCGGCACACACGCCTCTGCCGCCTCAAAGAGCTTGACAAGCTCCGATTTTGCAGCTGCCATCGCTGACGGTGCAACGTAAATGAATATCTTTTATTGTGATCACCTTAATGTATGAGTGAATGCGCTTCAAAGGGATATAAGAAATATATGTTGGTCTATTAACATTTCCCCCATACCTCGGCAACTACTTTAGCTTCGTCAAGTTCTACTCACCAGAATGCCCTCATAGTCAGAATCTCGGTAAGGGACTACGGAGGACCATATGGAGACGATTACAAATTGTGAATCCAAAACTCATCTATTCTTTTTAATTTTCTTGGGGATTATGAAGCACCGACGTGGGAGCAGTTGGCAATGGATCATAAGGACTGGAGCCGCGCTAGAGGGTTCAAATTTGCTGAGGTCGACTGTTTGGCTCAAGGAGATCTTTGTGAGGACAACGACGTTGTTTCCTACCCAACTATGCAACTGTAAGTGGATGCACATGGGATGATAATTATTTGAACAGTTGAAATCAAGTCGCTTCATTTTTATCTTTTTCTGCTCATTACTCATATAGGTATTATAAAGGAAAGCCCGTAGCAAAATACAACAAGAGGAGAACGAGCGAGTTGCTGAATGAGTATGTAGCATCAATGTCGGCTGAATACATCAATGTGCCTTCGAATATCAGCACCAAAGAAGTAGGGGAAGTTAAGGTTAATCCTTTTGGAAAAGTAATTGTACTGGATAAGGAGAGCTATGACAGGCGTACCAGGTTTGGCCCCTGGTTGATTGAATACTATGCTCCTTGGTGTGGACACTGCAAGAACCTGGCTCCTATCTATGAAGAGCTTGCGGGAGCCCTCAAGGATAAGGTTAACGTTGCCAAGGTTGATTGCACACAGAATCAAGCAATCTGCATGAGTGAAGAGGTCAGGGGATATCCTACGATCAAGCTCCGTCAATATGGCCAGTCGATTGAATATATGAAGCATCGCACCCTCCAACATTTGTCCGACTTTGCTCTCGGGGCCATCGTGTAGGTGAATATTGGCATGAAGTCTTTTTTTTTTTTTTTTTTTTTTTTTTTTTGCCTTAGTATATTTCATCGGCTAAATCGTCACTTACTTCTGTTACTTGATCATAATAGGCCCTCTGTCAAATCTATCACAGCAAAAGACCTCAATGACATAAAAAATAATAACGACGTTGCTTATGTTTTCGTCCATGACTCTAAAGTTAATCCCGATATCAAAGCCTTGATTGACAGGACTTCTCAGACCTTTTACGAACAGATTGCATTGCATGGAGCAGATGATACTGAGCTTGCCCATCAGCTGTCTGTTTCTAGCCCTGCTCTTGTAGCCTTAAAAGACAATCGCCAGTACCAATATCAAGGATCTTTGACGGATGAGGCAGCAGTGAAGGCTTGGATCAAAGAGACTAAAAACCCTTTAGTGACCACCCTCACAAACGAGAACACAGGGACGGTTCTATCCAAACACGGCTGGACTGTCATTGGTCTCTTTGACCCATCGAACCCCGCTACAGAGAACGCCCGTCGTGAATTGATTGAGACTGCATACCAGTATTATGCAACAATCGCAGACCGTACTACCTTGGATGGCCAGCCTTTACGCTTTGTGATCTTGGATGCACCCAAATGGGAGGGCTATGTCCGTGGTGCTTTAAAACTAGACTTAGCAAGCTTGCCTGCCGTCTTGGTGATCAACAGTCGTGAGGAGATTTACTACCCGTATGGCTTGGATGGTCGCCGTGTACCTGTTGAGCAAAGCTCATTGTTGAACTACATTTCCGAGGTTGAGTCTGGACTGCTAACGCCCAAGTCAATGCTGAGCCTACCTCAAAAGGGCTTCAGATACCTGAATGGACGGGCCCGCGAATTGATTCGGTTCTCAGGCGAGCATCCCATGATTGCCATGGCTGTAGGATCGGCTTTCCTCTTGGCGATTATGAGAAAATTCCCTGCGAAATCACCTGAAGCACAGAAGGAAGAAGCTGATGGCAAAGATATCAAACAAGATTAGAAATACCTTTTTTTTTTGACTTTATTTATTTTTATCAACGTTGACGAGGATATTGCTGCTCTACTCAAGAGTGTCTTTGGCGTAACATAATGAAATATAGAAAAATATCCTTGTAGTCTCTATGTCTGGCAATCAACGAAATAAACCATTACATATTTCTTATTGGTTGCTGGTGAATTCACCGTTGCTCGTGGCGCTCACTTGTGGTATCTACCCACAGTGCGATAATGTAGGGTCGTAAAGCTACCTGCATTAACCACACCTGTAGCATTGCTATCCATCCGCAATCCTTGCGGCGCCCACAGCGTAGCCCAAATTGCCAAAATCTACGTTCTGTCTAGATAAAGACAACTCTACGACGGTTTCACTCCCGCAAACCGTGCTTGTTACCTGACCCATCTATGAAAGATATCAGCAGTGAATTTAGTTGCTTGTTATACCAAATAAAATCTTTGGCTGTACCCGACCGAAATGGATAACTGTCAAGTACCTAGGGAATCCATGTATCTCCAACAAAGGCATATTCCTTTATATCCTATACTCTCATGCTCTCTCCTACCGGAAAATCTATAGCTTTCCTAATCGAATTGTCCCTCGTCGTGTCCTCAGAAAAACGTTTGAGAGCTTCAAAGTAAAAAAAAAAAAAAAGGGATCTGGACCTCCCAAATGAGCTGTGGCGTCTACTTTGCTCTCTATATTTAGTCTAGCGTTCCAGCATCTGCCGTAATCAAGTCGCATTCGTATTACACAGATGTTATATATTCTGCCTTATTGTACTGTAGTAAAATGGGGTCCCATTAATTGCCCTTCAATTTATTTCTTTTATCAATAATATTTAAGGCAAAGCCGACAAACAGAGTTGATCTCTAATTCATCAGACTTGGCCAGCAAGGTCCTTTGCTTTTTGTCAATCGTCCAACTTTTGGAAGCAAATATAAGGAAACCTGGAATTTGCACAAAATATATATCTACTTCTTTTTTTTCTTTCTCGAAAGCATGCAAATAGCTCTCTACAATGATATTAAAGTAGATGAAGAGAATCACGTTAGCAATGATGGAATTAGAATTTGATTAAAAGAGAAAAAGAAAAAAAAGAAAGGTGAGGCTGTGAGATTAGATGCATTTACCCGAGAGCGAGGAAGTAGGATGCATGTAATCAATCAAGGTTCTTACCACAACGGTTAATAAAAAAAAAAAAAAGGCACGCCACTTAATCTTTTTTTTTTTTTTTTACGTTTGTTTATGTGTTTATGGTATGCTCAACATCTGCCTAGACTTCAAAAATGCCTTTTTTGCATTATGAAGGATTCCAGAAGGAATTACAATCCTCTCAAAGCAAAAAAAAAAAAAAAAAAAAAAAAGTTCTTTTTTGTTTTCTTTTGAGGACCAACCAAGTACATGTAGAAAACTACATCAACAATATATACACACCATACATGACATGTTATGCCAAATGAATACCATGATTAAAAATAGTCGATGTTGTTCATGTTCACAATAGTTCAGGGTTGACCAATAACAAAAATTCGACTTGGCCTCCTTCTCTTAATGTTGTGTTACCCAATGATTTTGTAACGGAGAAATATTTGTCACCTTCGATCTGAGCCAGACCTGTCCATTGAAGACCCATTATAGCCTTTTACCCATCTTCATCTCCTCATTCCTTCTCAACAGTTTGAGATATATACATGGTTTATATACAGCTTGAGCTTGTGGATACTGTATTTCAATATGTAAAAAGACTATAAATACATATTAAAATGTAATGTATATACTTTCTATGACCAAAACAAATATATTTATTGGATGTAACATATTAACGTTAATTTTTACGAGAGTGGTGTACAACTTAATCCAAAACCATACCCATCAGGAAGAGTGATGATAAAGGGCGTCTTTCTGGAGGCGGGATCATCTTTATGCCTTTGAGAAAAGGAGTTGCGAACAATGATCTATGTAAATCTCCCTCTCTGTAAACTCTTTCCCATGGGAAAGAAAGCATGTCTTTGAGCCGACTAATATGGCAACGATGGCATTGTTCTACGATTTAAATTGATTTTTTTTTTTTAGCAACTTCGTAAAAACCATCGTATCGATCGGGCTTATTTTTCTATTTTAATTTTTAATGCAAGACATGTTGTATTCCCCCTGGATGTTGGATTTTAAAATATGCTATTAACAGTCTCCGTTTCTATTTCTGATGTGGAATAAACAAACATGGATGAAATCCGTTCCGGCTATTACTTCATGGCTTAAAAAGGATGATTGACAATGTCACGAACACGTCAGGAAAGAGATTGGGTGCGATAGCGCCGATGGGGCTTTTTTTTTTTTTTTTTTTCATTATTACTTTTTAATATACCAAGACCGAGGGACCACTTGATGGAATCTTTCACTGGTGGGTAGCAATAAAACTCATATTCCTACTCGTCCAGTAAAGAAATTCTTGGTTCTTTTTCGTCATTTTAATTTTTATTTTTATGTTCACAAACAGGCCAATGGGCAAGCTTGGTTCGTCAAAATCGAACAACAAATCTTTTCGATTCGCTGTCTCTTACGCTGAGGATGTAGCAAGTTCAAAAGGCTACCTTTGATGCGCTTTTTGGCTCACAAACTGCACGTTGGAACGGACCTCTTATTATTGTCGCCCTTTTATTTTTCCTGCTCACGGCTCTTTGTCAAAAAAAAAAGGAACAAAACTATATTGTATTATAGTGTTTTGAACCTCTCCATTTCATATAAAAAGCTGCTTCAATCCTCAAAACAAATCAGTAAATCATCACCTCTCTCCCTTCTTCCCTCAGTACCCTAGGACTCAGTTCTCCCTTCCATCCTTTCAGGAACAACATATCACTTCTATTATAATGGCCCCTATCACCCGTTTGGCTCTTGTGGCAACCCTCGTTTGCTCCGCATTCGTCAATGCCGCTCCTGTTTTTGCACCTGCTCCAGCTGATGCCCCAGCACCCGCTTTGATGGGAGCTCCTGTTGCTGTTGGAGGTGAGGAAGGTCACGCCCTCTTCAAACGCGCCCCCGCTGCGACCGTCATCACCCGCTGCACTCTCCCTGGCACCGTTGCCATCACTTTTGACGACGGTCCACACATCTACACCAAGGGTCTCTTGGACAATCTGCGCAAGAAGAATGCCAAGGTCACCTTCTTCATTAACGGAGAGAACTTTGGTCCCCTTACCCAACACTCATCAGTCCTTAAGCAGATGTTGGCTGATGGACACCAGATTGCCTCCCACACCTGGTCCCATCAGGACTTGGCTACGCTCAAGGGCGCTGCTATCATTCAAGAAATGACTAAGCGTAAGTTTTCCTTTCATTGATCATAAAATAGAGCCATATTGTTATATGTGAGACTCGTGTATGGGACCATGTGTTTTTTTAATCTGTACTGACTCTGGTTAATAATCACTTAAAAAATCGTTCAATAAATTAGTCGAGGTTGCCCTCAGAGCTATCATTGGCAAGGCTCCTACATTCATGCGTCCTCCCTACGGTAGCACCAACGCTTTGGCCTTGACTACCTTGGGTAACCTCGGTTACAAGGTCATCAACTGGGATCAGGATACCAACGACTGGCAACGTAAGTAACATACAGAAAAAAAAAAAAAAAAAAAAAAAAACATGATCGACTATTATTATGTTTGATCCATGATCACCACTTTATTACCAATGTTAACAGTATCATTCATTACTATGGTTTAAAAAAAAATAGACACCAAGGACTATAAGAAGAGTCTCGATCTTTACAAGACTGTCTTGAAAAAGTCTAGTGAGCTTAAGAAGCCTGGTCATATTTTCCTTCAGCACGATGTCCACGAGCTCACCGCCAAGAAGGTGGGACCCCTGGCTGTCGACTATGCCCTTAGCAAGGGCTACAAGGTCGTCACCGTTGGTACTTGCTTGGGAATCCCCGAGAGCGCATGGTACAAGAACTAAACAAAAAAAATACCATCTTTCTGTATACTTATATTACATACTATATCATGTACTTCCTAGCATCCTTCATCTATTCTCTTAATAAAAAAATGTAAAAAAAAAAAAAAAAAAAAAATGGATTCGAATGCTCATAAATCTTTTTTTATTTTTAAAGGTAAAAGCATGAGACTATATTTGGATTAGTTGTCAGTCAGAATATAATCAAAATATGTACTCGCTTTCACTTTTTCTCCTCCCCTTGTTGCCCCCTTTGTTGACATGCATGTAGCAATTGTGAATGGTCAGGTTTGATTTGGCACGTTGTCGCAGCAGTTACGCACAGGACACATTTTTGAATTTGCAGGTTTCTGGAGACATAAAAAGCTGGTTTTTTTTTTTTTTTTTAGTATCAAAACACAACTTTCAAATGTCAATGATTTATCGCATTTATGACAGTATCAAATGTTAATTTATTAATCTATTTTTCTTTCCCCCTCTTTTCTCCTAAACGTATTCGATACGCTCCAAGATACTGCACTCCAATTTCTTGTTTTTATCGCCAAAACACTTTTTGCAAAACTTGGTAACATCCTGTTTGACATCAGCCTTCCATCTGAAGAACTGCGATCTGTCAACATTCCTCATATACTTGACCAACTCGTTTGTATCCTTGAAATCAGCCGCATTGATGTAACTTCCTTCAGGTACATAATCATTAATGTCGTCTGCACCCAAATAGATGGGCACAGCACCAATTGCTAAAGCGTCGTAGATCTTTTCTGAAACATATCCAAGACAGTTAGAATTCTCAGCTGCCAGTACAAAAGGGTACTCCTTCAACTTCTCCTTTTTGTTTTGCTCCCAGTTCGGATTCTTGCCAGATGGTTCGCTATTAAGGTCCTTATTATGCAAGCAGTTTCCAAACGAATGAGCACCGATTCCATCAATGAGGCCCTGCATAAGCCTTTCGCGGCTGTTCTTTGACCAACAATTAGAAACAAAGAATGCGATATAATCCCTTGGTTTCCTGTCAAAAGGGTAAGATGGCTCCACGTTCGCTAGATCCAGTGCCATCTCATGTGAAATTGGGTACATTGGCATGGGAACATCCATCATACTGGGCGGACTTCCTACTGTTAGATCAAACAATTGATTGTACTCTGGCAAGGCCACGAATGGATAGTAGGCTACGGACTCTGAGTGGAAGTTGGACACCCATTTGTGATCCGCAAGCCTTGGGGGCAACAATTTTGCATCAAACCATGGCGCCTCAGAAGTATAAAATGGAAAGAGACTGTTCATCCAGATGATATCAGCGGTCCTGAATTGCGTGTAATTATGTGTGATGGTGTATTCGATTTTGCCATGCTGCTCGGTTTCACAGCTGCCAGCATCATCATAGTCAATTTCCCAGAGATAGCATGGCGCATATCCTTTGCCCCAGGAGAGTGACATGTCTTTGACAGTGGTTTCCTTGTATCGATCAATGGCTATTTGAAGCTCATGTGGGAAAGGACACAGTTTCAGGGACTCCTTCTTCCAATCGATCTCGCGCCAGTATGGAAGGAAACTCCAGCGTAAAATTCTGATGGGTTGGCCCTTGTCTTTGTGCGAAATCAACAATTTACGAGGATGGCGAGGCTCAGGCAGGTTATTGCAGATACCGTTCCCTCCGATCTTTTCTGGTGGGGTATTGTAAAGATCTTCTTCTTCATTTTTGGATAGGTAATCTGGCGTCTGATGTGGTCCTTGTTCTGAATCTACTGGATCCTCGTTTGTATATTTCAGATCTTGTCGGCCTTGGTTAAGAGCATAAAGTTCGAGGAGCAATAGCCCTGCTGCGAGAGCAACCGCCAGGCCAACAAGGATTTTCTGCCTTGATTTAAAAAGTGGATGACTACGAGGCGTCATGTCAGTCAATATTAAACAGGGCTCTCCAGGAGTGAAGCTGAAATATCAGATGTAGTCTGGATGATGGTGGATGGCGGATGGAGGATGTAAAAAGATTTTGAATGATGACAAGGGCGGAGATGAAAAAGAAAGTAGTTCGTGAACACCTAAAAAAAAAAATTCCTGATGCAGAAAGGCCTTTGTCTTCGCCCCACAACCAATGTGTTGGTGGCTTGTACACGATGGCATTGTCTGAGCAACGGCCAAGAAGATGTGTAGTATCTCATTCTCATGCACAATGAAAAAGGGAGAAAGAGAAAGATCCTTTGGACCCTCAGTCACCCGCAAAGAACTCATTAAGTAAACCATACATTAGAATTCCACCATGATTTTGATCCCGACTTGTGTTACAAGACACAAGCTCACGCGTGCCACAACTGCGATCGAGCCATAGTTAATCTTTTACGCTCTTTCGTGAACATCATTGGGTCAAGTTCAACGTTTTTTCCAGACATTCAATCCCCACACCTATACACAACACTCCATCTTTTTACATTCACGAGTTGAACTATCCTGAAGTACATCCCTATTTGTCTTTTTTTTTTTTTTTTTTTTTTCTACAAAAAATGCTTATAAAAGTGACAAATGACCCAAGCATGTATGAAACGGATACATGAGTCGTAGCATGAATTTTCGAAGAAGCCCTTGCTTCTTAAGAGGTACAAAGGGACCTACAGACTCAATATTGGTGCAAAGCATTATCCACATCAGTGTCTTACTTACTTAGCGCTAAAGCATCGTTTTACCGCTACGATCAAGATGCGATCGCAAAGCCTGTAGTAGCTATCAATAATGATTACACTCATAGTGCGGAAGAACATACTTTTGCCTTAAGCAGCAAGAGAATCAGGGTCCTATATCGAGCCAAAGGTATACAGAATTTAGCGACATCTCCATGGGCTACTATAAAGAAGTTTTGAAAGATGGTTTTGAGACTACTTACATAACAGTAATAGCTAGCAAATAGTCATCTTATGATAGATGATCAGTCATAAAATGTCCTTCGATATCCTCTCGCTATAAGGCAATGCCCACTCAAAGCAGTTGTAGATATGAGGCGTAGTCTATACGATTTAAGATGCATTGATTCGTCCGTGCTACCATGTGCCGCGGTGGAATAGAAAATCGAAAACAGAAAGTATAGATGTTCACCAATAATATTTTTTACACATCATTCTCTCGGAAACTACATACAGATGGTGTGGCAACCAAATGATCTTCAGCTGCTCTCTTAGAGACCGCTTTGGTACATTGTCATCCGAAGTGGCAGATAAGCATGCCGCAGATTATCCAAGGTGAGTTTTTTCTTTTTTTTGAGAAATAAGCTTGCGTAGACTAAACACACAGTCCCTATTGTGATTCGATTTGCTTTAAGCGAAATACCCCACAGACTGTATTCTACTTCACTATTAGACCCAGCTAAAAGGATATCTGTAGACCCCGAGTCTACGCTGATGAAAGTTCTTACATCTTTTACGTGCTACCGGTGCAAGGACGAACAATTAATGCACAAGTTACTGGTCTAAATAAAGGGACCATGTCATCAAAATGGGGTGGTATACATGACCATAGGCACTATGTCTGGTGCCTTAAAGAGGACAACATTGGTTATTACCACATTTGAAGGATTATAACCTGAGAAGGTTTCGCGTGGAGTGTGGATCGCAGTTGATTATTAGCCACATTATTATATATTTTATTAGTTTGACTCCTTGTAACATTTTTATTATTTGAGTTGAGCCAATAGACCAAGACCAGGTTGCTCTGTTTTATTCATAGCATACTTTATTCTGAGAGCAGCTTTATATGTACAGTACAAGGATAAGGCAACTAGGCCCCGGGTGTAGCACATAGATTAATTGTCTTATAGTTTACAACGACGTTCCTGTGTATTAGTAGGCAGGACAGTTCTTATTGTAGCTGTCTTGTTTTGAGAACAGATGTTATTGGTAGTAAACTTTGCTGATGGAAGGGAAGGAGGTTTTTTCAAGAATGGGCTAAAAAAAAAAAAAAGTTTGTCCAGAAAAAGCCAAAAGAGATACTCTATTCATATTGATATGCTTGATGTGTCTATGTTTTTGCATGGGCTCGAAAGTTTAAAGGTTTCTTGCTACGGTTCCCCTACCATACCCCCCAACCAACCCCTAACCGATCCATGCATTTTGAACATGTTCAAAGATGAAGACAAGATCCAAAGGCAAAATAGATAACAATCTGGGAGATGCATTGTCTTTTTTTTTTTAGAAAAACAAACTACAAACCTTCTGAAGGTTATGCATGCTCCATTGCTACATGCGACATATAGACCATTAATGACAAACATGTACAAACATGTGCGAATGGACTGAGCACGCAAAGCTGAAAAAAGCAATTCGTTAAACACCTGTCATGTACGATTAGGAGAAACGGAGATTTATTTATTTTTTATGACCAAGCCAGGCTGTGGTTTTTAGGATCTTCTGACGCGTTGCAAAAGCTCGCGTGTATTTTTATATAATCAATCATAAAACAACAAACTGGCAACCCTGTTTCCATCATTCGCGCAAATATTGAAGGCGAATGAAGAAGGAAGGATCATCATTAGGTTTGGATGATAACCCTTCAGGTATGAGATCCAACTTCTCAAGGGCTAAATCTAGCTTCTGTTGGATAACGATGAAAAGGTTTCTGTTCAACAATCCAACAATCGTGCAGTTCTATTTTAATCATCCTACATTAATCCTACACAGAACTCAATATGCTCACGCTTCTTGAATATACATTGTACATGTAAGGCGAGCTTGCCTTTTTCCTTTGCGAATACTATCCACCCCAACATTGCTAAAATAAACATAACATCGATGATAATAAAAGACGGAGCCATCATATGAGGATGATGGAGACAAGAGTTTGCTCATCGGTTCCGGGCATGAACCTGGCGTGGCCTGACATCTTTTTTTTTTAAATGGGGTCATGTGATGGAATGGAGCTCAGTTTTTCTCATTCAGCTCATTAAGCTCTCAATAATAATAATAATAAAAAACACGCAACAAAGAAAAACCAATACATCCTCGAGCCGCACCTGTCCGAGACAGATAGAGAGGTAAGTAAAAAAAAAAAAAATAATAATAAAGGAGTAGAAAGGATGTACCTGGCAGTGTTCTTTTTGTTATTCGTTATCCTTCTATTGGGTTCACATCTCCTTTCTCCCTTCCTCTTTCCTCTTTCTGTCTCTCTCTCTCTCCCTCTCTTTCCATTCTTCTTTCCATCCCAATCACTCGTTCATCTTTCTCATTCAGCTCAACTTTGTTTGTGGTCTGCAGCCTCATTGTAGGACAAACAAGTTTTTGACATTCAGGAACCGCACCTCACCTATCTCCAAATCAATATTCATACACAATCCACATACACATCCATCTCCTCTCCCTTTCTCTTCCCTTTTCACTTTTTCGTCAAACTACATTTATAAATAACACATCATGGGAAAGAAAGCAAAACAGGAAGTCCCTTTGCACAAGGTGATCATGGTCGGATCTGGAGGCGTTGGAAAGTCTGCTCTGACATTGCAATACATGTATGGCGACTTTGTAGAAGAATATGACCCAACCAAAGCGGATTCTTACAGGAAGAAGATCAATCTTGACAACCAACCCTGTCAAATCGACATTTTGGATACAGCTGGTCAGGAAGAATACGCTGCTGTAAGTGAAATATAGTGCCAACTCCTCTTCTTCCTCTCTCTCTCTTTCTCTCTCTCCATTCGCTGCACCTTCTTCATCTTTTTCTATATCCACATCCATCCTACTTTTCTTGTATTTTTTTCTTTTTTTTTATCCTCTCATTAATGGCTGGGAGCCTACTACATCACTACATGCGCGTAATCATCATCATAATTATTATATTATGCGTGTAGATTATGTAGGTACATACAGCCATGTATTTCTTCATATTTCGCCCAAGATAAAAAAAACATTACCTGAACCTTCCCCTCACTAAAGCGCGTCGTGACTGCGTCTTTGGCACAATTGCTCAAAAATTTCCACGCTAATACAAATAAAACAAAATATGCTGATATCTTTTTTTTTTTTTTTTTTTTTTTTTTTTACCTTTCACTCTACCAGATCCGTGATAATTACTATCGATCCGGCGAAGGTTTTCTCTGCGTGTTTTCGATATGTGAATATGAATCCTTCTTACATACACAAGAATTCAAGGATCAAATCATTCGCGTCCTAGATGATGACAAGGTAAAAAAAAAAAAAACAAAAGCAAAAATAAGGGTTGGCAAGGGGATGGGGGAGTGAAGAGTCTGAAATATAAATAGACATCTAAAGAGGGGTGCGAAAAAAAAAAAAAAAAAAAAAAAAAGGGACCTTGAAAAAGTAACCTGATTTTTTTTTTTTTCGTATTTGCTATTAGATCCCTATTATCTTAGTTGGCAACAAGGCTGATTTGGGTCAGCTTCGAAAAGTCGATCCACAGGAAGCAGCCGCTAGAGCTGCAGAGTGGAACTGTCGGTATATTGAGACATCAGCCAAGACGAGGCAAAATGTGGATGAAGTTTACACGCTTTTGATGAGGCAGATTCAACAACGGAAGCAAGGGGTTAAAGATCGTGATCGAAAGAGAAAAAAGGCAAAGTGCGTGATTCTCTGAAAAAGAGACCGGACTGATCCAATAAAAAAAAAAATGGATAGAGAATCCGTGATAGAAAATTGAAGGACCACAACCCATATCAGCGTAAACAGTTTGCATGGGGCGTGCGAACTTTCAGAGACAAAAAAAAAAAGAAAACACAAAAAAAGCCTTTCTTATCAAATATCAATAATATAGATATATACTATTAGTCCCTAATCTAATTCTAATAATCAATAGGAGGTGTTAATGTAGCAGACAAAGAGAAGAATAAAAAGTATATATTATACAACAGTAACGAGCGAGCGGCGATAGAAAGATGGAACAATTATACCCAATAAGAAAGAGATGGAAGAGTAAAAATCTGAGAGACTATTTGACAATTGTTTGATGAAATATCGTAACACAACGCTCTAAAGGATGGAGTCAATTTCAACTTCATTTTGATAGACAAAATGTATCATAAACTGTCTTACTTCAAGGGTCCCTTCCCCTAAGGAAGCAACCCACATGTAAAACAATAGCGCACTAAGGGTAAGTTACCGAGGTTGGAGGAAAAAAAAAAGGTTTGGGGAAGACAAAAAAAGCAGCAACAACAACAACAGATGGACAGACAAACAGACGTCCATTTCTTTCGGTAACGAAGTCATATTTAAATATATAATATTAAAAAACAAAGACGATTGGATTGCTTTAATAGGTAGCGGGATTTACCTTTATACGTGTACTTCGCCGTCCTTGACAATACATTTGAAAGATTATACAAAAAAAAAAAAAAAAAAAAAAAATAGAAAAGAAAAGAAAGAAAAATATCCGATCGTGACCAAATAAGAAAAAAAAAAAAAAAAAAAAAACATCTTGATATATTTTGAAGATTGAAGACCACGGATTTTGAGTATCAACGACGGCAACCAGGGTTTATGAAATCCATGGATACAGCTTAGCTGTTTGCGCAGAAATAGCTGCTTATCAGATATGTGTCTGGGGCGTTTTGCCCACAGTCCAAAGAGTATAGAAAATATGCTCCATACCCCGAAGGGTCCTCTTCATATCAAAAAAAGAAAAACATATACTCCGGGTTGAAGGTCATGAGTGTGGAAAGGCTATAAATTTTGATCCGCAGACCTAAATTACCAAGTGAATGTTTAACGCTTTGGGGCCCACAAGCCTGAGTATGTAAGCACGGATTGCGGTCAAACAATGGGCCGAAAACATACATGTATAATGCAGTTTTTTTTTTTTTTTTTTTTTTTTTTGTAATGGAACTGAATAGATATATTTCGATGAATAAACGTATTCATATATATCTATCCTCATCCCCTCAAAGGCTTGTGTTAGCCTCACCAGCTGCTTCCCTGTATGCATTGACATGCACTATCCTGCAGACATTTGGATATAATAATGGATCTATAATTCTTATTTTCTTACTCTTTCAGAAAATGTCGATATAAAAAAAAAAAAAAAAAAAAAAAGGGTGAAATGGAAAAAACCGATAGAATTTTTTGGATGTGAGATTGGGAGATTGGAAGGAAGGAGAAAAACTTGTGAATAGCCCTCCCTCTTCTTTTATTCCCATTGATCACTGTTCAAAGAACGACATGTTTGTATTACAAAAAAATATAATAAGATTTGTGCCCTTGGTGGCGAAGGAAAAAAAATAATAATAAAAAGTAGAAAGCAAATTGCTCAATTAAAGTATAGGCCTAGACTTTTTTTTTTTTATATATTCGTAGATCTGTATTTTCATGTCTTTGACATTATTTTACAATGTCTCTCCTTCATCCATGTTGTTTGCTGCCGTGAATCGTATATGTATTTTGTATAAAGGTGAAGATGTAAAACACAAAAAAAAAAAAAAAAAAAAAGTGTACAGCTAAGGAGTGAAGCATAAAGGAGAACTCAATGATAAAAAAAAAGTTACCCTGATCCTAGTGGAAGCGGGAATAGAACCAAATGAAGTTGCGAACACGGAAAACAACAAAAGGAAAAGACCATGCGAGTGCAACAGGCAAAAAAAAAAAAAAAAAAAAAAAAAAATTGCACATGTCTGAATATGGCAAGTTGACATGCAAAAAGCCGCATATTCAGATTAAGTATAATTGGAAAAGAAAAAAATCTGATTCAAACCATGGTACGACAGCTTGTTTAACCTTTGGGCCGTGGCAAGGCGTAGAACAATCAGCTCCGGATAAAATTATTAAGTGTGTTTATTCAGAAAAAAAAAAAAAAAAAAAAAAAGCGTGGTTGATAGTCAAACTAGTTCGAACCACTCAAAGGCATTCATTCATTTGGTGCAATTCAACTGGTTATTGCTCTGCCTGCCTGGGTCATGTCATATAAATAGCGTCATGGGCCATATAAAGAAGGGCCCGGTTCTCAGTGTCGTTAGTTTGCTGTGGAAAAAAAAATAAAAAAAATAAAAAAAAATAAAGTAAACAAGTAATTATATATACATGTATATATATTGATGTCTATTGTATATATATAATTTGATTGACAAGGAAAAGGTTGGCTTTCTCGTGTCTACCGTCCAAATGACCCCACGTTATGTAAATCTGGACCGCAACCTGAAGAGAAAATGTTGCGCTCAGCAAGCATCAGAGCGGGATGACCGAGAGCATTAAGAGTGATCGGCGTCGAGCAACCTTTTTTTTTAGCTTCCTCATACAAGCTTTAACTCTCTTTTTTTCTTATTCAAGACGCCACCATTTTTTCTTGATCCAGAAACAAACCTTGGAGCATATGATCATATGGCCAGCCCTAATGACAAATGGCAAACGAGTCCACAACTTTGAATACTGACATGATTGGTAACAATTGATAGTTCTCCTATTAAAATATAAATATATATGTATATATATATATATTCTTATACTCTATATTAGGCTTTTGGGAGTTTTTTCTTTTTCTTTTTTTTTTTTTTTTTTTTTTTGCTTGACTCAAAGCTGTTCTCAAGAACCACAATTGAATAAAAATAATAAAATAAAAAACAAACATGCAAGTTGAGATGGTCAAAAGAAAGGTTTAACCAAACAATTACGACAACGATAAGCTTCGTTCTGTTTCTTATTCAAGCATACTTTCTTCTTTTTTATTTTGCTTTTTTCTTTGTGTACGTCGATGGATAGACGTTTGTTAGGTATAAAGAGAGATAGAGAGAAAGTGATTCCATGTCATTGTCATTTTCATGGAGAAAAAATTGCAGTATGGATCCTTTCACTAATATACCGGAGAGACTCGGAAAATAGAATAAAGAGTTATATACGAATGAATCAAATACATATATATATATAAATATATATATTTGTTTTTACAATATCTATTCATTTATATATAATAGGCTACATGAATATATATAATTAAAATTAAAAGAATTAAAGGGCCACAAAAAAAAAAAACGCGCGGCGGCCAACAGTGCTGAAGAGACCCCCTTGTTCTCCAATAAAGTACGCATACGTGAATGTTTGCATGTTTACACTGGATATATTAATTCAGGTTAGTGAATAGGGGGGAAAAAAAAAATCATTTCCACATTTCAAATTAACATCTCATTAGCCCCACTGTAAACGACCTTATCTTTTTTCTCAAATTGGATAACAAGAACAAGTCGTTCTGGAACGATTATGTCCGCTTTTCATCACTGCAGGTTACTGCCTGAGATCAGATTGTAAAAACGAAATAAGGAATACTCTGGTGATACAACAAGTGAACATGTATTTTTTGTAAATGTCTTTGCAAACGTCAAGTATATATCTGCGATTGTACTTTAATATTTGCGTTTGTCTGTTAATTACTGATATGCAGCATAGCCCAAAATCATATCGCACCAAAAACTTTGACCACCATTAGTTCGTAAAAAAAAAAAAGACGAGTCTGTCCATGTAATGTTGGCATTAGCTTGCTATCGATTTCAAAATGACTCGATGGGAAGATCGGCAAATCAAACAATAAAATTTGTACAAAATATATTACACCAAAGTATATAAATATATAATATACATATTTTAGTCCTATCCTTTGTTGCAGTCGAGATCGGTATTGCATACATGTCAATTTCCCTGCTCCGAGCAAATATTTCACCACGTTATTGATGACGATATTCATTTGAACTTTTTTTTTTTACCAATCGAGACATCCAGAGCCTGATACATATGGATACCACCAAACTTTTGCTTTCTATTTCTCCCCAGCTTTTTTCTTTGCATTCAACTTTAAAATAAAAATAAATGATGAGGTGATCGGCGGAAGTCCTTGCTGTTGGCGTTTTGTTTCGGCAACTAGTTTCAAATGGTTTCGAAAGAGGGTTATCTTCTCTACCTTTTTTTTTTCTTTTTTTCTTCTTAAGCATGGTGTTCTAATCATATGAGGTACATTAAGAGAAAGGAAAATGCATGCAAGATCTTAGTGCATGCCCATGCGCGAAGTTGCCTTTGCAAGAGCTCATAAAACTGTTCTTTTTTTTTTATTTTTTTTTATTTTATTTTATTTTATTTTATTTTATTTTAGTTAACATCGGCAGTCTAGTATTTAGTAAAGAAATAAAAAAAATGAACTTCACATCAGCAAAAAAAAAAAAAAAAAAAAAAAAAATTGGAAAATCCTTTGGTCCTGAATGAGGGTGAGCGTCATTCGGGATTTTCTCATACTGGAAATGATCGTAACAATCATTGACCAATCACACTTTCAAAAGAACTTTATTTATTTGACTTGGATTCAACCTTGATGAAATGGTATACAAATACAGACACACTTTGAAGACAAAGGTCAAGACTAGACACAGAAGAGAAAAAAAGCCCATCTTTTTTTGTTGTTTTTTTGACGCCAACTTCGCCACAAGGGGTCTTTCTCCTATTTTATAAATCCTCCTCATCTGCGCAACCAATCGCGAATCATTTTTAAACGTAATTTTTAACTTTAACAATGCAAGTTACCAATTAGCTATTCCTTTTTGTTCTACCTTGTTCATTTATATATATATATACTCTATCGTATTCACTGGTGACTAAATCGACTGCTTACCAGTCAAATAGGGACATGTACTCATCCAGAATGTATATATTTCCCATCCCATCCAACCTTATAGACATTGATAAACGTTGTACACCGTAAAGTAAAGAATTTCAATACATTATGTATTCAACAAAGGACTTAACTGTATATTTATATAAATGCCAACCTAAGGGTCGGGACAAAAAGGAAAAACTGAGAGGTCAGCAATACACATTTTTTCATGACTGTATCCTCCAACTCGTTTGGTCAGTGATTCATATATTTT